TAACGTATTGTTTAGCCTCCATGTGTTTGTGTCTTTTTACGTTTTTTTCCCTCTAATTTATTTCTAATCTCATAGTGTTGTGGTCAGAAAATTGATATAATTTCAATTTTCTTAAATTTACCAAGGCTTGATTTGTGACCCAAGATGTGATCTATCCTGGAGAATGTTCCATGTGCACTTGAGAAAAAAGTGTAATCTGCTGTTTTCAGATGGACTGTCCTATAAATATGAATTAAATCTATCTGGTCTATTGTGTCATTTAAAGCTTGTGTTTCCTTATTAATTTTCTGTCTGGATGATCTGTCCATGGGTGTAAGGAGGTGTTAAGTCCCCCACTATTGTTGTGTTACTGTCGATTTCCTCTTTTATAGCTGTTAGCATTTGCCTTATGTATTGAGGTGCTCCTATGTTAGATGCGTATATATTTATAATTGTTATATCTTCTTCTTGGATTTGTCCCTTGATCATTATGTAGTGTCCTTCCTTGTTTCTTGTAACATTCTTTATTTTAAAGTCCATTTGGTCTGATATGAGCATTGCTACTCTAGCTTTCTTTTGATTTCCATTTGCATGGAATATCTTTTTCCATCCCCTCACTTTCAGTCTGTATGTGTCCTTAGGTCTGAAGTGGGTCTCTTGTAGACAGCATATATATGGGTCCTGTTTTTGTATCCATTCATCAAGCCTTTGTCTTTCGGTTGGAGCATTTAATCCATTCACGTTTAAGGTAATTATCGATATGTATGTTCCTATTACCATTTTCTTAATTGTTTTGGTTTTGTTTCTGTAGGTCCTTTTCTTCTCTTGTGTTTCCCACTTAGAGAAGTTCCTTTAGCATTTGTTGTAGAGCTGGTTTGGTGATGCTGAATTCTCTTAGCTTTTGCTTGTCTGTAAAGCTTTTGATTTCTCCATTGAATCTGAATGAGATTCTTGCCAGGTTGAGTCATCTTGGTTGTAGGTTCTTCCCTTTCATCACTTTAAGTATATCATGTCACTCCCTTCTGGCTTGTAGAGTTTCTGCTGAGAAATCAGCTGTTAACCTTATGGGAGTTCCCTTGTATGTTATTTGTCATTTTTCCCTTGTTGCTTTTAATAATTTTTGTGTTTAATTTTTTTCAATTTGATCACTATGTGTCTCAGTGTGTTTCTCCTAGGGTATCCTGCCTGGGACTCTGTGCTTCCTGGACCTGGGTGGCTGTTTCCTTTCCCATGTTAGGGAAGTTTTCAATTATAATCTCTTCAAATATTTTCTCAGCTCCTTTCTCTCTCTCTTCTCCTTCTGGGACCCCTATAATGCAAATGTTGGTGCATTTAAAGTAGTCCCAGAGGTCTGTTAGGCTGTCTTCATTTCTTTTCATTCTTTTTTCTTTATTCTCTTCTGTGGCAGTGAATTCCACCATTCTGTTTTACAGATCACTTATCTGTTCTTCTGCCTCAGTTCTTCTGCTATTGATTCCTTCTAGTGTATTTTTCATTTCAGTTATTGTATTGTTCATTTCTGGTTGTTTGTTCTTTAGTGCTTCTAGGTGTTTGTTCTTTAATTCTTCTAGGTCTTTTTAAAACATTTCTTGCATCTTCTTGATCTTTGCCTCCATTCTTTTTCTGAGGTCCTGGATCATCTTCACTGTCATTATTCTGAATTCTTTTTCTGGAAGGTTGCCTATCTCCACTTCATTTATTTGTTTTTCTGGGGTTTTATCTTGTTCCTTCATCTGGTACATAGTCCTCTGCCTTTTCATTTTTTCTATCTTTCTGTGAATGTGGTTTTCGTTCCACAGGCTGCAGGATTGTAGTTCTTCTTGCTTCTGCTGTCTGCCCTCTGGTGGATGAGGCTATCTAAGAGGCCTGTGCAAGCTTACTGATAGGAGGGACTGGTGGTGGGTAGAGCTAGGTGTTTTTCTGGTAGGCAGAGCTAAGTAAAACTCTAATCTGCTTGTCTGCTGATGGGTGGGGCTGAGTTCCTTACCTGTTGATGGTTTGGCCTGGGTGACCCAGCACTGGAGCCCACAGACACTTTGGTGGGGCTAATGGGGTCACAGCAAGGAGTACTTCCCAGAACTTCTGCTGCCAGTGTCTTTGTCCCCGCTGTGAGCCACAGTCATCCCCTGCTTCTGCAGGAGACCCTCCAACGCTAACAGGTAGGTCTGGTTCAGTCTCCTATGGGGTCACTGCTCCTTCCCCTGGGTCCTGATGTGCACACTACTTTGTGTGTACCCTCCAAGAGTGGAGTCTCTGTTTCCCCCAGACCTGTCAAAGTCCTGCAGTCAAATCCTGCTAGCCTTCAAAGTCTGATTCTCTGGGAATTCCCCCTCCCATTGCCAGACCCCCAGGTCGGTAAGCCTGATGCAGGGCTCAGGACCTTCACTTCGGTGGTATAATTGTTCTCCAGTTTGTGAGTCACCCACCCAGCAGTTATGGGATTTGATTTTATTGTGATTGCGCCCCTCCTACCATCTCATTGTGGTTTCTCCTTTGTCTTTAGATGTGGGGTATCTTTTTTGCTGAGTTCCAGTGTCTTCCTTTTGATGATTGTTCAGCAGTTAGTTGTGATTCCGGTGCTCTCTCAAGAGGGAGTGAGTGCACATCCTTTTACTCCACCATCTTGAACCAGTCTCCACAGTGAACTTTCTTATATATTTCTTATACTTTGCACATTGATAGAGCCCTAATAGTGGAATGACTGGATCAAAGGATTAAAAACATCTCATTTGTGGCACTAAATGAATACCTTACCATAGACATTTAAATTTTAAAGTGAAAATTGTTTAAGTCAAGATTTGCACCCAAATCAAAAGAGGAAAGATTAATGTCTCCAGATTAGCATTTTTGTTTACCTAACAAAAATAGAACTCCAGTCACACCACAAACCCAGACCTGTTGCAATGGAGGTATTTAATTACCATTGTGCTGTCTGGAGTGCAGAGCTGCATGCTCTACCCCTGTCTTTTGCTTGGAGTGTGAGAACTTAAATGAGAAAACGGCTCTCAAGGTTCTGTCAGGCCATTTTAGGAAAGATCATCTCAGGACTCTGGCTTCATGTTCTAATTTAATTTCTACTGATGCTAATTGGTAATGAGGACTCTTAGCACACTTTTTTTTTTAACAAGAAAAAAAGCATACAAATCTAATTTTTTTGCATGTACATGGGAGTCTTCAAAAGGAAAATGAAGACCAGAAGTCACTAGGACCAAAAGCTTAAATACCTTGTTACACAGCAAACAATAAATTGTGGGGATGTGACAAGACAGAGGGGCTGGTGCTATGAGCTGTATATTGTGGGACAGTCACTAGCAACTAAATATGGGAAACGAATGGAAGGTCATTTTAGTAGGTGTGTTTGTACAGGTCCATTTCGGCATTGCCTCCCAGTCTCTGGTGATATGAATGTTCTTCCTGGTACAGGGAGGGCACCTTTCTCAGGGGAAATTTCATGTCCTGCTTTTAGGTAGAAAGGGGGAGTCCCAGAGCCCTCCCTGTGTCTGCTGTTTCTCAAGCTTAGTGCACATTTTTTGAGCCTCACGTATATCAAACATTCTACTAAGTTCTAGAGCGAGAGAGGGAAGAGCGGGACGTACTAAAACCAGAACGAAGAGTAAGGCAGGGCTTACTCCTTTCACTGCAGTGCAGAGCAAAGGCTGGCGGAGATTTGATTCCTTTATTGACTCTGTCATGGAAAGACCTGGAGTCAAGCTGGACATGGGAACAAATGCCTTAATGATTCGGTCTCTGGGGTGACCCTAGGAGGCTGGTCAGTCGCTAAGCCTGAAGAATATCGTACAATCTGTACTCAGTGAAAAAGCTCCTCAGGTTGCTTTAGCAAAGGAAACCCATGCGTGGCAAAGTAAGAAAGTCACAGACAGTGTGTGTGCTGGTTGGACTCAGAGCTTAGCCACTGGTTATAGTGTGGGTGTGACCTTAAACACGTGACTTTCTCTCTCCTATCCTCAGAGCCTCCCTCATGAGATGGAGATAGTCATGCCTATACCACAGGAATGTTGCAAAGATGAAAAGTATCGAACTGCCCTTCTTCCCCAAACCCCATTCATGCTTCAGATCTCACCTAAATCGGCTTTCTCAGGGAGCTCCGTTAGCCCCCTCCTCTCCACACCAAGATGTGCTCCTGCAGCATCCTCTCTGGAAGAACTTACTTGATTGGCATCTCTTTTCCGTGGAATCAGGAACCTCTATGTCTCTAGCACCCAGACCAGGCTACTGCTTTGAGCAAGCCAAAGGGGATGAGCATACCTTTGTTTCTGTGTAGACAGTATGTGCTCACCTAACAGATGGACTTTTATTCTGAAAAAGAAAACTATTTCTATTTTCCTGTAATATGGCTTTTTCAAAGAGGAACTGACCCTGGCATCTGTCAGCCAACCCTGGATGGGCTCAGGCCTGTGCACTGAGTACAGCAAGTGCCTAATCCTCCCAGGGCACCTCCATCTCCCCCGCCCACCAATCCTGTTTAAGCATCAAACAGGAAAGGCAAAGGTGGGTGAGGATTAAGCCTTGGAAGACATTATTTTGCTAATGAATTCTGAGTTTTTTCCAGGCTTGCAGGATTTCTGAACTCAACATTTTTTGAAAGAGCTATGTTGCCAGGAGGTGGGATCACAGTTAAGCTGAGAAAAACTCGTGCAGGATTGCCAGACTGAATTGAGACCCTCATGAATCTCATGCTTTTAGGTTCAACCAGTAGTAACAGTGTATGTGCTGGAGGACTTCCCTGGTGGCGCAGGGGTTAAGAATCCTCCTGCCAGTGCACGGGACACAGGTTCGGTCCCTGGTCCAGGAAGGTCCCACATGCCATGGAGCAACTAAGCCCGTGAGCCACAACTACTGAGCCTGCGCTCTAGAGCCTGTGAGCCACAACTACTGAGCCCATAAGCCACAACTACTGAAGCCCGCATGCCTAGAACCCATGCAACGCAACAAGAGAAGCCACTGCAATGAGAAGCCCACGCACCACAACGAAGAGTAGCCCCCACTCGCCGCAACTAGAGAAAGCCCGCGCACAGCAACGAAGACCCAATGCAGCCAAAAATAAATAATTTTTTTTTAAAAAGGGTGTATGTGCTGGAGTAGGTGGCTACCCTTCATGTCCTGCAGGGCAAAGGGAGACCAAGCTTTCCAAGACAAGCGGAAGTCATGAGTCAGCCATGACTGTAAGGCTGTCAGACTCACTTGGACACATGGAAAGCTTACGAGGAAGGCTCTGTGCCCCTCAGGAATGCAGCAACTCCCTTTGCCTTCTCTAGATGCTCAGGGCCCCAGACTATCAGCAAGAGGCTCCTGACGCCTGGGCCTTCCATCAGGGTGATGGAGGACAGGCTGCTGTGGTGGATGGTTGTTTCCGGGCTGTGCCCAGTAAGACTAAGCAAGCGTGAGGGTATCCAGGTGATTTCTCCAGAGGATGTGTCAGGCAGCATAGATCCCAGGTAGTTCAGGGTACCATTCTGGGAGATATCTACCATAGACCACATCTGGAGTTGAACAGCTCAGGAAGTTGGCTTGCTCTAAGTGCAGCAGTTTACTTGGCAAGTGATAATGGGTCCCTGGGTCAGAAACGAGGGGCCTCAAAAAGGATGGAAGTAGAATAGTAATCCTGGGTTACTGATGCAGTAAATGGCCATCTGCTTGCCCAAATAGGATGATGACCCTTTTGTTGGCTAGGTCAGCCTCTCTCTGAGGACTTTAAGGAAAGTTTGCTTGCCCTTCATTCTAATAGAACAATGCTTTTCCATTCTGGCTGCAGATCGGAAATCACCTTTGGAGCTTTAAGAAATTCAGATGCCCAGGCTCCAGCTCCAAAGATTTGATTCTGTAAGTTTTGGGTAAATCACCCCTTTTTCTTTTCTTAGAGGGGTCTGTTGGTGTCTCTTGGGGACTCCGATGTGACACAATGCCATGTGAATTAGGAAGCGCTGAAGGGAGCGCTGTGGGCTGAGGGGCTCCATCTGTGTGTGGAGCAGCACCTGCAGTGAAGGCTCAGCTGGAATGAGGAAGTGCCCCCTGGACATCTCCTCAAGATCCCTAAGCACCTCAGCCCAGCTCACGTTCCTTTACAGGAGGCTGCTCCTCCTTTGTTCCTGCTCTCAGTTCACGTCCCCACTGCCCTGTCTCCCAGTGCAGACATTTGGGAATCATCTTTTTTGTGTGTGTGTGGTACGAGGGCCTCTCACTGTTGTGGCCTCTCCCGTTGCGGAGCACAGGCTCCGGACGCGCAGGCTCAGCGGCCATGGCTCATCTTCCCGGACCGGGGCACGAACCCATGTCCCCTGCATCGGCAGGCGGACTCCCAACCACTGCGCCACCAGGGAGGCCCTGGGAATCATCTTTGATTCCAATCTCCACCACACACACATATCTTAGGCCTTCGCCGTCTCTCTAGTCCTAGTTCAAGTACCAAGAACTGTGAAGGCTCAGAGGCTTTACCCTTCTCGCAGGCTAACTGCTTAGCTTGCCTCTGTTTCACCAACGCTCACAGGAGGCGTGAGACTTCTGGGTCAGAGACAAAGGACGGCCTTGCAGATGGTGTGAGCTTCATGTTTGTGATAGTTCCTGAGCCCCTAGTCCCTCAGAGGACAGTGACCCAGGTGGCTACTGCACACACAGTGTCTGTGCTGCAAGGTGCACTGAGCTCAGGAATCCCCAAACTTTTTTTTTTTTTTTCTGTGCCTCCCAGCTTGCGGGATCTTAGTTCCCTGACCAGGGATCGAACCCAGTCCCCAGCAGTGAAAGCCTGGAGTCCTAACCACTGGACCACCAGGGAATTCCCAGGTATCCCCCAACTTTCTAAGGAGTCTGCAAACAATCCCGACCAAACTTTGCCCCGAGGGAGGTGTTATCTTTATTATCTCACACAGTACAAAAATATGCCCCTGCCCTCAGAAGGAGACCCTATCTCTATCTTACAAGGCTGTTACATAAACATCCTCGAAGAGATAGTTTGAGATGAAAGCTCTTCACAGAAGTATAGAAACATGAGACACCCATGGAGAATTGTCTCCCAACACTAGGAACTCATCACAATTACCTATGAATCTCTGCTATTAGTCTCTCTTCCACTAGCAATAGTTCTGGTTCTAGATCAAAACATAAAGCAAATATGCCGATCGTCTGTTTAAACTTTGGTTTTTCACTACATAATAACAAGTTAAAATGTCTAAGGCCCCATCCCATCTGGTCTGCTCTGCTCTATTTTTCCTTCCTTATCTCTTACTTCTACTCTGCTTTCACAAGTAGCTTCTGCTCCAGGGTGCTCGGAGCTGAGTCGTCTCTCTACAGAACCCCTATGACTCTGTTTATACGTCAGTTAATATCCTTACTTGTTTGCTTTACTATGGTAGTCAGATAAATATGTTTCTCATCTTCTCCCCCAGTGGAACCTATCTATCTCCTTGTTCTATCCATAGTCCAACATGGTGCCTGATGTACCCAGTATGTGCTCAGTAGATCTTTGTGTAGTGAGGAAGGCTGCTAGGTCAGCAAGTCAGGCTGTTTGGGGTTTTTCTGAACTTTGATTAAAGCTGGTAGCCCCAGTTGTTTCAGTCCTCTGGGCTTTGTTTTCCTGAGTTCTGTGGCCATAACCTATAAGCATAAAAAGTTGTTCTAGGGAGGTCTAGATGCTTTAGTGACTAGCCATGTGAATCAAGATTTCATTCCGATCCCAATAACAGAATACCTTGCTCTAGGGGTTTAAACAGGTAGGTGTGTGTCTCCTGCATTATCTAAGGTTCCTCAGGGCTGATCCTTTGGTTCATTGTGGGATCCAGGTTCCTTCCACCTTTCTGCTCCACTGTGCTTAATGTGGAGGCTTTCATTCTCATGTTCGTACTTCCTGGCTGCAAGAGGGCTCCTGCACTTCTGGGGCCCATGTCAACATCTGAGGTAGGGAAAAGGAAGAAAATGAAAAGGTGAAGGGCCAAAGGCCTTCTAGCAGGTCTCTGCCTTTTTGTTTACTAAGGGATGCCCTTCCCATGAACTTCTAGAGTGGTAACACCAACTTGGAAAGCCAGGGAATTGGAGTATTTTAAGCTTGGTACATTGTCCTCCTGAACAAAATTGGGGTTCTGTAAATAGGGCAGAAGGGGTAGCTGGATATTGGGTAAATAACTTGCACTATCTGTCCCAAAGACAGATGTCCCTTCTCTTTTTTGTCTTTGTATTGTTCTTTTAAAAAATTTTTATTTCATTGAAGTAGATTGATTTACAATGTTGTGTTACTTTCAGGTGTACAGCAAAATGATTCAGTTATACATATACGTAATACTTTGCATCTGCTAATCTGTAGTTTCTTTATTTATTGGTCCTACCAACATGAGCTTTTGCCCAGGCCCACTGTTCCTGTGTCCGATGACTTTGTGGACATTCATGTCCTGAGTCCTGAATGATTTTTCCTTCCTCTTTCCCTTTCATGCTCTGCCCTGTCTTCTCAGAAACTGAAGGCATTTTTGTTTGTTTGTGTCTCTTATTGATATTATATTCCTCTTCAACCATGGCAGGGAGGTGGGGAGTTCCGGCATTTTTTGGTCCTGGGTTAGTCACCTCTAGAGAAAACAAGGTTTGACAACCATTCCTGTGCTATAGCCACACCTTAGCTCCTGGTCTGTGCATTCCCTGGTGGTCTGAGGCGTGGAGACTTACCTGGGCCTCCGCACGCTGGGGGATATGAGGAACACACTCTCCTTTGGTGCGTTATGTCAATGAAACATTTAGGAGCAGGCTGTTTCTCTTCAGGGGTGTTTCGGCTGAGAGTGGATTGAAACTTTTAACTGTACGAGCCTTTTTAAATGAGGAGACTCATATCTGAAGGGGCGGCTACAAAGGGGAAATGGTGGTTGATCAGGTTACCCCGGGAGTTTGGCAGGCGTTAGAATCCTCTGCTTCGCAAAGAGCAGAGTGTAATCGCTTGGGTTAGCAGGGCTGCGTATTCCATAAGAGCTCCTGAATCATGGGATAAAGGGGGTGGGGAGGATATTTTTGGCCTCAGGAGAAGGGCTGCATTCCTGATCCAGCCAAGAAAGGATGTCCTAAATTCCTACAGTCCCCTCAGGGTGCTGCCAGCCGTGTGAGGGGACAGGAAGGTCAGCCCCAGCCCACTTCTATCAGCAGGATGGCGTGGGTATGGGCGTGGGTACGGCTTACAGCTGTTTGGGTTTCCAAGATTCCTGACACTTGACAGTGAGACTGCAGCTGTCACTGGCCTTCAGAATGTCGAGTCTTTTCTCTGAGGGGATAAAAACAAAAATCCAAGTTTGCACAGGTCATAAAAATGCCCTGGGGTCAAGTATTTGGACCTCTGTTTGACAAGGCCCTTCCCATGGCACTGCTTCTGTTCCCCTAAAAATCCCCACCCCTTCTGCTCTGGGAGCAGACAGACTACACGTGAGGTCTCCACAGGGTCAAGCCACGCAGGCTTCCGGGGGCTCTGGAGTTGAGGGGAACAGGGCGGGGTGGGCCAGGTGGGGCCTCTAACAGGCTGGAGACGCATGCCCTGCCCAAAGGCACAGGGTCACAGCCACACACCGCCCTCCTGGGATGCAGAATGCCTGGTTGCCAGCTCTCCCCCTTTTAAAAGAAAAGTCAAATAACTAGATTTTTATGCAAAATCATCCAAAATTTCAGTGTTTACAGCTGTTTGTTTTCTTCTTTCTTTTACAAAATACCATGTGGAACAAACACAGATGAATGAAGGCCCCCAGTCTGCCATGGTCTCTAGAGGAAGAAATGGGTTAGCCAGGTCACAGATGCCTCAGGAGTGTTAAATGAGGACTCTTGTGGAAGAGGCGGCCCTGCACCCCTCTCTCCTCTCTCCATGTGAGTGGTGCCTGGAGTGTGTTTATCACTTGGAATCAATCAGAATGGCAGTTCACAGGCTTGGCAACAGGTGCAGAAGTGTTGGGAGAGGTGGATGACAGTGCTAAGAGGCAATTAGACTCCAATTAGCTAAACACCAGCTCCAGTGGGTACTTGGAGGTGTGCTCTGTGCCACCTCTTTTTAGAGGCCCTCTCTGATACATCTGGTAAGCGGCGCTGGTGAAGGGTGCGTGGGTGTGGCTGATCTAAGGCCCGGATGCCAGGAGGGAGGTGCGGCCACCCCACCCTTGTGACGCCACTACCCCTTGTGGTGGGTCCCCTTAGGAGACTAGCTTTGCAGGAGCAAAGAACTTTGCAGGAGCAGAGTGTCCAGGAGGTGACACGTACAAGTGGATCAGGAAGGGTACAAAGAGGCCGAATTGAGAAATTGATAAGGGCTCTTGAAGAAGAAAGGAATGGAGTTTTTAATTTAGGACTAGGGGCAGAAAGCAGAGGGGACTTACAGGTCAGATGTTTTTAGCTGAGCATCTGCAAATGCTCACGACTTAGCATTTGAGGTTTGTCTTTCAAAACCTGGAATATGTCTTTAATGTCCAGATGTGGGAAAACGGCTAAGTAAATTATGGTGCATCCATATAATTGGAGAATATGCAGCCATTAAAAATGAGGTTATGAAACAGTTCTTAGTAATGTGGAAAAATGCTTATTGTGTAAATGGAAAAAAAAGGAGGTAGCTACATGTGGCATAACACTTCAACTATGTAAACTACGCACACACACAGGGCAACTGCTGTGGAGAGCACGCCAGAACATCCTTCCGAAACTGCATCAGATGAAGCCTGCATTTTACAGAGTAAGGGACCACCAAACTAGGTTCTAAACGTCCAGATGTACAGGTAATCTCGCTTTCCATCTCTTGCTTTTCTTTGGTCAGTGCGGGGGAAGGCCCTGCGGCTCACAGTGACCCTGATGAGGGGAACAAGAGGGCAAGGGGTAGGAGAGGGGGAAGCAGAGGATTTAACAGATTGTGTAGACTGTGCTATTATGAAGCTCAATGGTCACTTTGCTGTGTCACTTCCCCTAACTTCTACTGGGCACCAGGGGGTGCAGGGTGTGGGTGAAAAGAGTGGAATATGAGTCATTAATAACTCCTTCCATACTTACCTGCACGAAAAGGGAAGTCATTATAGGAGAGGCATGGTGGAGAGTGGGATACATTCTAGAACCATAAAAAAACGGAGGGTGAGGGTGAAGGAACTGTGTACGGATAGTTGGCACCAGTTGAAGTTAGGGACTATTTTGGGTTCCTGCAGAGGTGAGTCTAAAATCAAAGCCGCTCCGGTTAGTATTTCCTCCCCGTGGTTCACTCTGATCAGGGCAGCACTGTATCTTTTACTATTGGGTTGCAATCTTAAGAGTATGATTCAACCTTTACCTCCTTCATAAGTTCTAGGTAATCGCAGGTATTCATCTGATGTGCTTATGTTAGACACGGGGAAGAACGGGGTGCCGAGAAGCAGAGCAGACACCCCTGAAGAGCGCTCAAGGTCAAAGGCAGCTGACCTTCTCTGGTCCTGGTGGTGGGGTGATGGTGACCACACGAGAGCACTGTGAGATGTCCTCGAAGGAGCAGGGGTTTTTCATCTGAGGGCACGGACACCCTAAGGGCAGGGGTGTAGCCAGCTTCTCAGCAGGCTTAGCTCTGTTCTTTGTATGACAGTTCATTAAAAATGAACCAAAGAAACCACAAAGACACCATTTGGCTAGAAGGGAGGCCTATTTTAAAGTAGATATGGTTATAAAATTCAAAGTGAGAATTCATATAGGAATTTATTTTTGACAGTAATCTGAGGTATAGTGTGGGTTTCTTTCCTTCAGGATTCCTGGGAATCAATAAATGACAAAATAACTACTGCAATAGTAAGTGATATCTGTCAAGTATACTTGAAAATCAGATTTTTTAAAAACTTAAGTACAGTTGATGTACAATATAATGTTTCAAGGGTACAACATAGTGATTTGACATTTAAATACATTATGAAATAATCACCGTGTCTAGTAACAAGTTATTACAATATTATCGACCATATTCCCTATGCTGTGCATCACATCCCCGTGACTTTATAACTAGAAATCTGTACCTCTTAATCCCCTTCATCTATTTCATCCGGCTATACACCCCTCTCCCCTCTGGCAACCACCAGTTTGTTCTCTGTATCTGTGAGTCTGCTTCTGTTTTGTTTTTGTTGTTTTTAGATTCCAAGTATAAGTGAATCATATGGTGTTTGTCTTTCTGTCTTACTTCACTCAGCATAATATCCTCTAGATCCAGCCACGGTGTTGCACATGCTAAGAGTTCACTCTTTTTTTTATGACTGAGTAATATTTCATTGTAAATACAGTTAACCCTTAAACAACACAGGTTTCAACTGCACGGGTCCACTTATACGTGGATTTTGTTCAATAAAAACTACAGTACTACACAATCTGTGGTTGGTTGATTTCACAGATGCAGGACCATGGATACAGAAGGCCAACTATGGTGCTTGAGCATCCATGGAGTTTTGGTATCTGAGGCAGGTCCTGGAACCAGTCCCCAATGGATATCAAGGTACGACTGCATATACCACTGTATATTCTTTATACACTCATCTACTGATGGACACTTAGGTTGCTTCCATATCTTGAACATAGGGGTGCATATATCTTTTCAAACTAGTGTTTCTGTGTCCTTTGGGTAAATACAGAGAAGGGGAGTTGCTGGATTGTATTGTAGTTCTATTTTTAATTTTTCAAGGAACACTAAATCCAACCATAGATCTTCTAAAAATATGTATAAAGTTTATATACTGGAAATCTGGGTTAAAGCTTTAAAATTTTTTATCTTGAGATAACAGAAATCTAATAAAGATGTTTTGAATTATTTACTTTAAAAAAATCCCAAACTTGAAACTAAGAGGCTTCAAAGTATGACAGGATTAGGCTTTAAACTTCCTTGATGAAGATTAAAAAACCTAGCTAATTTTCGTAAAACCTAATCCTGAAACAAAATTCTCTCTATATGTGACCAACACCAACTAAACACTATAAAGTTCCACACACCACTGAATGTGGTTTTACCTTTGTATGGTTAAGCAGGTTAATATAAGATTGCACACATGCCTACCAGCAAAACCACAGATCTCTGAGTCATGGATAAATTCTAAGAATGTACTCTGAGGTTGGGGGTGAATATGAAAATGAAGTTTTTTTTTTTTTTTAGACTGTGGATGGTATTTGAATCAAGTCACTTCTCCCCTGAGCCCCTGTGTCCATGACTTAACCATCCTACGTGCTCCATTTTTACTCCTTAAAAGCTGCGTTCATAATGCTGGGGATCAGAGAAACCATTAAAACCACTTGGGAGAAGACATCACCCTGATCCTCCAGTTTGCTTAGGAAGTGGGAGGCTCTACATTTCTCTTTGGACAAATGTGACATCAGGCAGTAGAAAAGCCAGGGACTGAGGAAACGAATGTCAGGAGAACCCAGGCATCGGTTTCTACCTGGCTTCAGTTTGGTCTAATTATAATTGGTTCCAGTATATAAATGAACGGTTGCCATATTAAATGTCTATCTAGTGTTATAAATAGCAGACAGATGCATGTTGTCCATTTCTGAAATGATGACAGATTACAATCTCTGTGGCCATGGCTAAAAAGCCCAGTTTGGTAAAAGGGTTTGTTTGTTTTTCTGGGAAGAAACAAAGTAAGGATAAGGAAATAATGAACTTCAAAAAGTCAGCTGAGAAGGAAAGAATAAATAAATTGAACTTAGGAGCATAAGTTCCATGCAAAGCTCACTTTTTCCTTCAAATACTGTAGCTTACCATTCACGGCATACAAGGAACTAATAACTTACCCCTGGAAACCTCCAACAAGGGACTCTGCCTGTCTAGTCAAGAAGCATAATGATAAATGGGTGGATTCTATTACAGGACTCAGAGCACAGTTACCATAAACCTTTATGCAAAACACACAGCATTTATATATAAGAAAAAGATGAAAGACAGATGAGAAGTATATATATTAAAAAGGTGTATTTTATACGTACTGATAAAAAGTTGGCAGCACTGAAAATGGGAAGGGGGGATTGTTTTGTTTCTATACTGAGGAAAAAACTCAGTACTACCGCTTTATCTATATTGACTTAGTAATAATACTAATAAAAGCTAATATCACTGAGCTAGTACTGTTATTCCCACTTTACAGATGAAGAGGTCTGAGACAGGAAGAGGAAGTGCTACAGTGGGAGCTACACTGAAAGGCCTTCTCTGCCCACCCGGCCATCTTAGTTTCAGGGGGAAGGAGGTAAGAGGTTATACACTCTGTATGGAGGATAACTGGGTGCTCCTCAAACTATTAATAGATACTATTAATACATTATTAATACACTATTAATAGAGACAGAGTCTACTATCAAAAAAAATTCTCTGAAGTCAGACAAATATCTAAATCTCAATTTCTCTATCAATCTCTCTAGAACTAATTCTCCTATTTGGCTTTTGTTCTTTGAATTCCTTTAGCCAGGAATCCTGTAGGGGGAAGGCGGGGAATATAGTTTAGGCCGTAAGATGTCGCAGTTCCCTCCAGCTTTACCGTCAACCCCTGAAAGTTTGAATTGTCACAAAAACCCTGGGAAGGAGGAATTATTAAACTCAATGAGAAAACAGGCCCAGACAGTTTAAGTAATTGGCAATGGTCACATAGGTAGTAAGTAATAGAACCAGGATGTGACTACGGAAGAGGCAGTATCCAGAGACCTTACTCTTTCCACTTATCACACTTTTCAAATAGTTTCCACAACATTTTAGTAAGACAGACCTTTAAAACATATCTGTGACGCCACATGACATATAATGATGTATCTTTGTATGTAAACTAAGAGATCACATCTGTGAAAAAAAAAACCCTCAATTTTCCTGGTTACAGCCATGAAGATTCACCCCAGATATCATTGTTTTTTTTTTTTTTTTTTTTGCGGTACGCGGGCCTCTCACTGTTGCGGCCTCTCCCGTTGCGGCGCACAGGCTCTGGACGCGCAGACTCAGCGGCCATGGCTCATGGGCCCAGCCGCTGCGCGGCATGTGGGATCGTCCCGGACCAGGGCACGAATCCGCGTCCTCTGCATTGGCAGGCAGACTCTCAACCACTGTGCCACTAGGGAAGCCCCTCATTAAGTGCTTTTTAATAGACACTTGTATGATTCAAATGTATGGCTTCCTAGAGTTAAGAAGTGTCTTTTAAGCTTACTGATTCTAATAACAGCTGGATACAAAGGATAATGCTTACCTGAGTAATAGACATCTTCACCCCTTATGTTCAACAGAATTAGATAATAAGCCTTCTAATGATACCAAGGAGTATTTCTTTTTGAAATCTTCACATGCAGGGGTTTCTCAGAACACTTCACCCTAATGCTTATATCTGAGAGCATTCTGTTCCACCCAAGAGGAAATTGTATTAGAACTGAAAAATTTTGTTCCACATCTCCACTGTTATCAGATAGTATGCTAAAAGCATGTTTTATCAAGGAAGACACAGGATTATGGGCCAGTATTTAATCAATTTTGCTTTGAGCACAGTGAAGTTCCACTCTGGGTGGGTGGTTAGCAAGATTCCAAGGAGCTAATGGGACTGGGAGGGAGGAAAGGAGGACATTCCAGTGCATTTCACTCAGACATCTCCTTCCCTCTAAGTTTTGGCCTTTTTGTTTTTCATCTATGCTCCAGTCCTGGCACAAAGTGGTAATGAAAGTTTTGTTTTGCGGCTCCTCCCATCTTTCCCTTAGAATGCACTCTTAGTGAGTAGCAAACTAACGTAAAGGTGGTCTCTAAAACTAAGACCAAGTAGTAGGAGAGGGATGGTATTGTCTGTGGACTCCCACCCACTGCCATGGCACAGCAGCACATCACCGAGTTTGGTGGAGCCCTGTTATCGTAAGGACACAGCCTCTGGTCTGGTCACGCCGGAGAACAGCTGGTGATTTGAATTGCATTTTGTTTCCCTGAAGATGAGAGTTCCTAGCATATCAGCAAATTGATTGCTGGCAGCTGTGGCCCAGACAGTATTTTTTTTTTTTTTTTTTTTTCTCAAGTCCGTGCTTTTTGGACGCTTCTGTTCCGAGGTTTTCTATATAATGCTTTTCAATACAGACAGATCTTACTATCAAAAAAGGAAAATTCTCTGAAGTCAGATAAATACCTACATCTCAATTTCTCTATCAATCTATCTATCTAGAAATAGTTCAGGCACTCTGGAAGTTTCATGGAAGTAGGGATTCATTCAACAAATACTTACTGAGCACCAACAATGAGCAGGCGCTGTTCTAGGAGCTGGAAATAGAAGTAAAATATACAAATAAACCAAATGATGTCATTACAGTTTATATACTGTTTATTTAGTTATTAATATGGACAGCCTATTATGCAACATTACAGATGTCTTTCAAAATCTAAAATAAAATAGAGTCCACTATCCAGCCCAGGAGAAGACAATGAACCAGATCGTTCTTACAGTAAATGTAGCAAAAGTGCTCACAATAATCGTCCTTCGCTTGGACATCAGAGGGAACAGTCACTCAAAAAGTTCTTTACCTCCACTGGGGTTTTAACTTTCTCGAATTACAGCTATTTCAGAGTCAAAAGTCCAACTTCGATCACCCCATAGAGATGCACAGCATCAGGAGAGCAAGGAGCCCACCTTACCTTTCAGCCAGTATTTGTCACACACGGGCATTCGGAGAAGGCAGGTATGTCACAGGATGTTCATGTGTTTCAAAGCTCTAAGACCCGTCTGGTGTGGTGGTAGCAGTGAAGAGTGTACTACATTCTGCCAAGGGGGCTTCTGACCTCTTCAGTCTTGGCACTTGGCACTGTCACTTTCCGAAAGGCTTTAAGATCCACTGCAGTTCTCTGTGGAAAGTGGAGGTGGGAAACTCTAACAGCTACTGGGATGAGGCCATGTGCAGAATGAACTGGACTGGCTACTATGGCTTTTATGACCTTCCTTTCTTTAGTCTAGACAAACACTTCTTAATCTTTTTTCATATGCCCTGCTAGTTCTCATATAAAATTTAAAAGGGTTAAAAGACCAAGGAAACTTCTTGCTTCCAAGCTGAATGGTGAAAAACAAACAGAAAAAAAAAAATCCATTTTCTAAGGAGCTGTACTCAACTTTCTCAGTTGAAAACAAATGCCAAGTGACTTTTAAAGACATGTGTTGAAAAGACATTCTGAGGTGAAACTGTACATATATCAATCTAAAATACAGGCAAAAACCAAGATGTACTAGTGCACTATTCTTCAACCCCTTAGTTTCACGCTGAAAACTACAAATGTTTTCAGCATCAGGCTACTGATGACGGCCAGTTAAATATGACAGAAAACCTTAGAAAGTCTTGCCAACTTTGTGGCAGTTTCAAGAGTCTACAAAGGAAGAAGAAGAAACCAGAGGGTAAAGAGCAAGAGCATTGGACTTTATTTAACTCTAGGTACCATGGGTTTGACATTAGTAGGTAAGGCTAATGAATAAGCAGCCATACAGGTTTTTTGGTCACTGTGCTTTCCAAGCACCAAGAAATGGAGCTATTTTTACTATTCAATTCCATCTTTCATAAGCTAGTCAGATCCTGCTGCATTCTCATTTGTTTCTAATTAATTTACCAGTTATGTAGTCTACCAAGGACGAGGAGCAAGTCATTGTGTAGTACCAAGTTTACGTCATCATCATAGGACTACAACATGCACATTCCACTTAATGTAGCTCAAGCAACAGGAATACAAGGAAACAGTTATGGGGTGGAGACTTGTTTTTGACAAATTCATGTTCACACTAACTAACTAACTAACTAACTATGGGTTTAGAAATCTTATTGGGAAGGTACCTACAGCAGTTCTTCAATTGGCATTGGAACATTACACGCATGCACAAGTGATATGGAAGAGAATGAAGCAGAAGAGGCAGCTGGATGGAGGACAAAGGGGAAATGAGGGGTGTATCAGGGAGGGGTAGTTCTCAGCTTTCCACAGCAAGTCTCTGCTCTGTGAGAGAAGCCTGTTGAGCAACACTTTTGTTCTCATGACTGCGAAGTTTGGATACAACATCTAGAAAGGCCAAATCCTGTACTTCTTTGTGTAGAGATTCTGGAAGACAAAAACAAGGCAACAGATATGCTTCTATTAGGTTGTTCTAATCTTTCTTACTATACACTCGACCTAAAACATATACCCAAAATGCTCATTTAAATGATACCGAGTTATAAAACTAGGAACAATTCTGGAAAAAGACACAGCAGTAGCCTAGAAATGTCTTTTTTAGGGATGTTAGGATAAAAAAATCAGAGACCCTTTATAAAAATAAATCAGATGTCAAGTTCTACAGTCAAAGGTTGATTAAAGTAATGAGTTATAATTAAAACACAGCTCATTGTATGATCTCAAGGTTCAGTTATACACTCCTAACTTAACCCTATCATCAGTTCAAATATGAAGTCCAATACTTACAGAAAAATCTTAGATCTGTTTCAAATTAATTTTGTGACAAATAAAAAGGTTATTACCTCACATCCTTTCAACAAATTTCTGTGATAGGAAATCTAAAAAGGAGCCTACTATATCTTCCTCTTTCTGGTTTTCTTGCTCTAAAGGAGCCTACTATAGCTTCCTCTTTCTGGTTTTCTTGCTCTATTTAACTTCAGTTACAGTAAAATACAGGATTCCTCTTAAGTCTGGTAAGTTTAATATAATTAGCATCCCTCAAACTGATGTGTTTATTTTGATAAAACTGAGGTATAAAACCAGAACCAGCTGGAGTAGCAATACTCAGACAAAATAGACTTCAAAATAAAGACTGTTACAAGAGACAAAGAAGGACACTATGTAATTAATGATCAAGGGATCAATCCAAGAAGGAGATATAACAATTGTAAATATATATGCACCCAACACAGGAGCACCTTAAGGGCAAATACTAACAAACAGCCATAAAAGGAGAAACTGACAGTAACACAATAATAGTGGGGGACCTTAACACCCCACTTTCATCAATGGACAGAGCATCCAGACAGAAAAACCAATAAGGAAACACAGGCCTTAAATGACACATCAGACCAGATGGACTTAATTGATATTTATAGAGCATTCCGTCCAAAAGCAGCAGAATACACAGTCTTCTCAAGTCCACATGGAACATTCTCCAGGACTGATCACATGTTGGGCCACAAAGTGAGCCTCGGTAAATTTAAGAAAATTGAAATCTTATCAAGCAAATTTTCTAACCAAAACGCTATGAGATTTGAAATTAACTACAAGGAAAAAACTGTAAAAAACACAACATGTGGAGGCTAAACAATATGCCACTAAACAACCAATGAATCACTGAAGAAATCAAAAAGGAAATCATAAAATACCTAGAGGCAAATGACAACGAAAACACAACAGTCCAAAACCTATGGGACACAGCAAAAGCAGTCCTAAGAAGGAAGTTTACAACAATACAATCTTACCTCAGGAAATAAGAAAAATCTCAAACAAACAACCTAACCTTACACTTAAAGCAACTAGGGAAAGAAGAAGTAACAAAACCCAAAGTTAGTAGAAGGAAAGAAATCATAAAGATCAGAGCAGAAATAACTGTAATAGAGACAAAGAAAATGATAAAAAAAGATCAAGGAAACTAAAAGCTGGTTCTTTGAAAAGATAAACAAAATTGATAAACCTTTAGCCAGACTCATCAAGAAAAAACAGGGGAGTGGGCTGAAATCAATAAAATTAGAAATGAAAAAGGAGAAGTTACAATGGACACCACAGAAAATCAAAGGATCATAAGAGACTACTACAAGCAACTACATGCCAATAAAATGGACAACCCGAAAGAAATGGACAAATTCTTAGAAAGGTGCAATCTCCCAAGACTGAACCAGGAAGAAACAGAAAATATGAACAGACCAATTACAAGTACTGAAATGGAAGCTATGATTAAAAAACTCCCAACAAACAGAAGTCCCGGACCAGATGGCTTCACAGGCAAATTCTATCAAACGTTTAGAGAAGATTTAATACCTATCCTTCTGAAACTATTCCAATAAAATCACAGAGGAAGGAACACTCCCAAACTCATTCTATGAGGCTACTATCACCCTGATACCAAAACCAAACAAAGGTACCACAAAAAAAGAAAGTTATAGGCCAATATCATTGATGAACGGAGATGCAAAAATCGTCAACAAAACACTAGCAAACCAAATGCAACAATACATTAAAAGGATCACACACCATGATCAAGTGGGATTTATCCCAGGGATGCAAGGATTCTTCAATATATGCAAATCAATCACTGTGATACACCACATCAAAAAGTAGAAGAATAAAAACCATATGATCATCTCAATAGATGCAGAAAAAAGCTTTTGACAAAATTCAACACCCTTTTATGATAAAAGCTCTCTACAAAGTGGGCATAATAAAGGCCATATATGACAAACCTACAGCTAACGATGGTGAAAAGCTGAAAGCATTTCCTCTAAGATCAGGAACAAGACAAGGAGTTCATCAGTGAATTCGGTAAAGCTGCAGGATACAAAATTAATACACAGAAATCTGGTGCATTTCTATACATTAACAACAAAAGATCAGAAAGAGAAATGAAAGAAACAGTCCCATTTACCATCTCATCAAAAAGAATAAAATACATAGGAATAAACTTACCTAAGAAGGCAAAAGACCTGTACTCTGAAAACTATAAGATGCTGATGAAATAAGTTGAAGATGACACAAACAGATGGACAGATATACTGTACAATGTTCTTGGATTGGAATAATCAATATTGTCAAAATGATGATACTACCCAAGGCGGTCTACAAATTCAACACAATCCCTATCGAATTACCAATGGCATTTTTCACAGAACTAGAACAAAAAATCTAAAAATCTGTATGGAGACACAAAAAACCCCAAATACCCAAAGCAATCTTGAGAAGTAAAAAACGGAGCTGGAGGAATCAGGCTCCCTGACGTCAGACTATACCACAAAGCTACAGTCATCAAAACAGTATGGTACTGGCACAAAAACAGAAATATAGATCAATGGAACAGGATAGAAAGCCGAGAAATAAACACACACATGTATGGTCAATTAATCTATGACAAAGGAGGCAACACTATACAATGGAGAAAAGACAGTCTCTTCAATAAATGGTGCTGAGAAAACTGGACAGCTACATGTAAAAAAATGAAATTAGAACATCCTTTAACACCATACACAAAAATAAATTCAAAATGGATTAAAGACCTAAATGTAAGACTGGATACTATAAAACTCTTAGAGGAAAACATAGGCAGAACACTCTATGACATAAATCACAGCAATATCTTTTTCAACCCATATCCTAGAGTAATGGAAATAAAAACAAAAATAAACAAATTGGACCTAATTAAACTCAAAAGCTTTTGCACAGCAAAGGAAACCATAAACAAAGTGAAAAGACAACCCACAGAATGGGAGAAAATACTTGCAAACGATGCGACTGACAAAGGATTAGTCTCCAAAATTTACGAAGAGCTCATGTAGCTCAATAACAAAAAAAAATAACAACCCAATCAAAAAATGGGCAGAAGACCTAAGTAGACACTTCTCCAAAGAAGATATATAGATGACCAAGTGGCACATGAAAAGATGCTCAACATCGCTAACTATTAGAGAAATGCAAATCAAAACTGCAATGAGATTCTACCTCACACCAGTCAGAATGGCCATCATCAAAAAGTCTACAAACAATAAATGCTGGAGAGGGTGTGGAGACAAGGGAACCCTCCTACACTGTTGGTGGGAATGTAAATTTGTATAGCCAGTATGGAGAACAGTATGGAGGTTCCTTAAGAAACTAAACACAGACCTACCATATGATCCAGTAATCCCAGTCCTGGGCATATATCTGGAGAAAAACATAGTCCGAAAAGATACACGCACCCTGATGTTCACCACAGCACTGTTTACAATGGCCAAGACGTAGCACAACCTAAATGTCCACTGACAGATGAATGGATAAAGAAGATGTGGTACATATATATAGTGGAGTATTACTCAGCCATTAAGAAGAGTGAAATAATGCCATTTGCAGCAATATGGATGGACTGAAGATTATACTAAGTGAAATAAGACAGAGAAAGACAAATATCATATGATATCGCTTATATGCAGAATCTAAAGGAAAAAAAGATACAAATGAACTTATTTACAAAACAGAAACAGACTCACAGACTTAGAGAATGAACTTTTGGTTACCAGGGGTGGAGGCGGGGGTGGGACAGATTGGGAGTTTGGGATTGACATATACACACAACTATATATAAAATAGATAACCAACAAGGACCTAGTGTGCAGCACAGGGAACTCTGCTCAATACCCTGTAATAACCTAAATGGGAAAAAATTTTGAAATAGATACATGTACATGTATAACTGAATCACACTGCTGTACACCTGAAACTAACACAACATTGTTAATCAACTATACTCCAATATAAAATTAAAATTTTAAAAAATAAAACATTCACTAATAGAATATAATGGTAAAACTAATAATAAAAACAATCAGTTTCATTACAATGTAATAAAATAAAAATAAACATAGTGGAAAGGCTAAAAAAATACAAAAAATGAAACCAGAACCAACGTTTTTAGCAGAAATAGAAAAATCCATTTTAAAATTCAGATGGAATCTCAAGGGACTCCAGATATCTAAAACAATCTTGAAAAAGAATAAAGTTGGAGGTCTTACACTTCCTAATTTCAAAACTTACTACAAAGCTACAATAATCAAAACAGTGTGGTGCTGATATAAAGACAGACAGATTAACAGAATAGAACAGAAAGCCCAGAAATAAGCCCTCACATATATGGTCAAATAATTTTCAACATGGGTGTCAAGACCATTCAACTACAAAAGGACAGTCTTTTCAACAAATGGTGCTGGTAATATCCACAGGAGAAAAATGAGGTTGGTCCCTTACCTTACATCACATACAAAAGTCAACTCAAAATAGATCAAAGACCTGAACATAAGAGCTAAAACTGTAAGATTCTGAAAGAAAACATAGGGGGAAGACTTCATGACATTGAGTTTAGTAATGATCTTTTGGATATGCATGAAAAGCACAGGCAACAAAAGGAGAGATAGATAAACTGGACTTTATCAAAATTAAAAACTGTGTATCAAAGGACACAACAGTGAAAAGGCAACTCTTGGAATAGGAGAAAACACGTGCAAATCATATATCCAATAAGCATTTAATACACAGAACATATAGAGAACTTTTCCAAAAACAACCCAAATAAAAAATGGGCAAAGCACTTGACTAAACATATCACCAAAGAAGATAAGATATACAAATGGCCAATAAGCAAATGAAAGGATCCCCAACATCACTAATCAACAGGGGAAAGCAAATCAAAACTACAATAAGATACCACCTGACAACCACTAGGATGGCTATTATCAAAACAAATAACAAATATTAGCGAGGATGTAGAAACTGGAACCCATGTGCACCTCTGGTGGAAATGTAAAATGGTGCAGACACTGTGGAAAACAGTACAGTGGTTCCTCAAAAAATTAAACACAGAATTACTGTATTATCTAGCAATTCCACTTCTGTGTATATAAGCAAAATAACTGAAAGCAGGATCTCAAACAGATACTTGTGCATTCATGGTCATAGTGGCATTATTCACAATAGCCAAAAGGTGAAAATAACCCAAATGTCCACTGATGGATGAATGGATAAACAAAATGTAATATATACAAACAACGGAACATTATTCAGCCTTAAGAAGCAATAGAATTCTGACACATGCTACAACATAGATGAGCCTTGAAGACATTATGCTAAGGGAAATAAGCCAGACACAAAAGGAAAAATATTGTATGATTCCACTTACATGGGGTATCATGAGTAGTCAAATTCATAAAGAGAGAAAATAAAATGGTGGTTGCCAAAAGCTGGGGAGATGGGTGATTAGGGAGTTACTGTTTAAAGAGTATGGAGTTTCAGTTTGGAAAGAAGAAAAAGGTCTGGAGATGAATGGTGGGGATGGTTGCACAGTGACATGAATGTACTTAATCCACTGAACTGTACACTTAAAAATGGTTCAAATGGCAAATTATATGTATATTTTACATTAAGAAAATGCCTGAACAATTATGAACATGCTTGAAACAAATGAGATCACAGCAAGGAAACAGAAGATATAAAGAAGAGAATAGAAATTTTAGAACTCAAAACTATAGTACCTGCAACAAAAAGCTTGATAAGCCTATCAAGACAGAAGAAAGAAGAGAAGACAGAGAAGACAGAAGAAATAATCAGTGAACTTAAAGCAATACAAAGCAATAAAGCAATACAAATTACCCCATCTGAACAACGGAGAGATAATAAACTGGAAAAAAAAATGAACAAAACCTCAGGGACCTGTGGGATATAACTAAAGAGCTCACATTTATGTCATTAGAGGCCTTGAAGGAGAAGAGAAGTAAGGTGGGACTGAAAAGGTACCTGAAGGAACATGGTTAAAAACTTCCCAAATTTAGCAGAAGACATAGCGTACAGATTCAAGAAGCTGAGCAAGCCCTAAACAGGATAATCCTAAAGAAATCTATGCCAAGACACATCATATTCAAACTTTTGAAAACTAAGAGAAAAAAGTCTTGAGACAGAAATGACACCTTACCTACAAGGGAAAAAACAGCGAGATAGTGGATTTCTCATAAGAAACTATGGAGGCCAGAAGAAAGTGGCACAACATTTTTCATGTTCTGAAAGAAAAGAACTGTCAACCCAGAATTCTATACACAGAGAAAATATTTTTCAGAAATGAAAAAGAAATCAAGATATTCTCAACGAAAATGAATAAATAAGGAATAATAAAGGAAATGAGAATTTGTCACAAACAGACCTAACCTAAAAGAATGGCTAAAGGAAGTTCTCTAAACAGAAAGGGAAAAAAAGGAATTTTGGAACATCAGAAAGAACAGATATAGCAAATACATATAGATAAATACAACAGGCTTTCCTTTTATCAAGAGTTTTCTGGATTATGTTTGATGGTTGAAAACAAAAATTATAACACTAATGTGGTTCTAAATGTGTACAGAGGAAATATCACTAATTTGAAAAGACATATGTACCCCATGTTCATTGCAGCATTACTTAGAAAAGCCAAGATACAGCAGCAACTTACATGTCTATGGATACGTGAATGAGTAAAGAAATTATGGTGTGTGTATATAATGGAATATTATTCAGCCACAAAAAAGAATGAAATCTTGCCATTTGTGACAATACGGCTGGACCTTGAGGGCATTATTCTAAGTGAAGTGAGACAGAGAAAGACAAATACCATATGATCTCTCTTATATGTGGAATCTAAAAACCAAGTTCATAGATACAAAGAATAGATTGGTGGTTGCAGGGGACAGGGATTGGGGTTGGGAGAAATGGGTGAACTTTTAAAAATTAATTTAAATAAATGGAATAAATATTAAAAACTGCAATAATAATAAAAAACCCAAAGAAATAGTAAATGATTTTTGCTTACTGATTAAACAACACACAAACTTTTTGTTTTCCACTGCTCTCCAACTTGGGTATCATAACAGTAAAAAAATAAAAAATCTTACCGGTTACCCAAATAATATTTCTATTTTTCTCTAACAGTGCATCACTAAAAATACTGGCCCTGGAAAAATTCAGAAAATAACCAAAGGAAATACTTCCTTAACTAAACACTTAACACAAGAGTGTCTTGACCATTTATTTATTGGTCAAATTGAGAATGGATGCACTCTTTGTAAAGGAGAATTTTAACATTTGAGGGGTTGCTCAAGCAGGATTTGTGGAAAGGATCAACAATTACCTCAAAGAATGCAAGCAAAGCAGAGGTTACTGGGGCATTCGTCAGTACAGCAGCATAGGACAGAAAACACTACTGTGGGTAACGCAGACAGAGCCATACCAGCAACATCCAAAGAGATGGAGCCTCGAGCCCAGGGATTCCATGCTTCCAGTTCCTTTAGCAAAGCTGATGCAACTGCAGAGACAGATGCATCAAACCACTTTGACCTGATGCCATTACACAGTCCATTCATTTAATTCTCCTTGTTCTGATCAAAGCTCATCAAGCAACCCTTGATGCCTGTCTGCCCTGAAGGAGTCAATGAGACAGACATGCGCACTTGGGGTGTTCTGAGATCAGTGGCAGGCATACTTCTCATTATATATAAGTAAACTAACATTCTGGTTTTGTACTTGGATAAGCTGAGCCTGCCCCAGGAGTCATATCCACCCTTGGTGTGTGCACAAAAAAGTCCACCTAGAAACGCAACTCTGCCCATCAAGGCTCACTACCAGAGGTGCTTTCCCGACACTCACCCCCTCTACTGCCCATCATTTGGGTTGTTACCATCACCTTGAAAGTGCCTGTCACTAACCAGACAGGACAATTTATGTTCACCACTCCTCACCCAGCACCACTGCAATGTCCCTGCTCACTTCCTTCACTGTCTTGGCTTCCTCGTCTAACCAATGGTAGTAATAATAATGATAACCAACTTTGTGGATGAAATTATGTAATCTTTAAGCATTAAAAATAAGGTGGGGGGATGACAGAGTGGGTTAAAAAACATGACCCAACAATATGCTGCCTACACTTCAAATACAAGATACCGCAGATTGAATCTGAAAGGGTAGAAAAATATCACGTGAATGTTATTCAAAAGAAGGTAGGAGTAGCTATATTAATATCAGATAAAGTAGACTTCAGAGCAAAGAAAACTACCAGAGACAGAAGGGAACATTACATAACGACAGAAAGGTAAATCCACCAGGAAGGGTGTATGCACCTGCCAACTGAGCTGCAAAATGTATGAAGCAAAACCTGATAGAACTGAAGGGAGATACAGACAAATCAACAATAATAGCTGGAGACTTCAACACCCCTCTCTCAATAATTGACAGACCGAGTAGAAAATCAGCAAGAATACAGAAACACCATTACCAAACAAAAGGATCTAATTGACATTTATAGAACTCGCCACTCGATAAGAGCAGGATACATGTTCTTTTCAAGTGGTCCATGAAATGTATAACAAGATAATGCCAATGATTTCTTGAACAAACTCCTTAGCTAATATCATGGTATACAAAATCAGAATTCGTTCTTTATACAAAATATTTTAGGATTAATGAAACTTAAAGGTATTAATTTTTTAACACTGACTTTTGCCTATATTTGCTATATAACACTTGTCATTATTAAGAATCTTTTGGGAGTATTTGCAGTGTGAAAGTAATCCTGTATCTTCCATAAACTAATTTCTAATGCTTTTAAAACCCAAAGCCACCATTTACTATTATTTTATATTTAATGTCAACCATATGTTGATGAGTATCAAATGACAGAGGAAATACGTACCAGATCCCATGAGAGCACAGATCAGGACCATGGAATTATATTTGATTTCAGGAGCACTTCTCTCATCTGCTAGCAGTGTGTGTAAAATCTGTACAAGTTTAGCACTTTCTAGATCTTTCTCAGCAGTGCCTGGAACATGAAACGAAATATCAGTTATATTCACTGGGTATGAACCTGGTACAATCTGGCTAAATACTACTTCCCTTTCTAGAAACTGATAATGTGAAACCTTTCAAACGGGACTCATAAATAATAATGACATAGATATGCAATATTAAATTTAGACCTTGTTAAAAGGGTATTTAGATCTAAACTTCAGTAGATATTTCAGGAGTTTAGGCCTAAAATTCAATATTAAAACATTCCTTTAAATATGAGGCAATTAAAAACCTTTATTATGAAAACTGTTAAACATATACAAAAGCAGAAAAGATAGTATGATACACTATGTACTATCACCATCTTCAAAAATGATCATGGCCAACTGTGTATCCTCTATCTCTAGTCTTATCCACTTATTCTAACCCATCCCAAATTATTTTGGAGCAAATCCTATAAGCACATAATTTCCTCCACAGGTATTTCAGCATGTATCTTTAAGAGAATCGGACTCTGCAATTCCTATCAAAATCCCAAGAGGATTCTCCATAGGAAATAGATAAGCTTATACTAAAATTTATATGGAAAGCCACAGGCCCTAGAAGAGGTAAACAATCTTGATGAAGAAGAATAAAGTGGGAGGAATTCCTCTACCTGATATGAAGGTCACTGTATAGCTACAGTTATCAAGACAGTGTGGTGTTGGTGGAGAGACAGACACATAGGTCAGAGGAACTGAAAGAAGACCCTAGAAGTAGACCCACACACGTAAGCACAACTGATTTTTGACAAAGGTACAAAATCAATTTAGTTGAGGAAAGACAGCCTTTTCAATAAATGGTGCTGGAGCAATTACATCCATAGGCAAAAAAAAAAAAAAAAAAAAAGAAACCCTGACCTAAACCTCACATCTTATACAGATATTAATACAAAAAGGATCACAGAGTTAAATGGAAAACTACAGGACTTTCAGAATATAAATAATCCTCAAAACTCAATAGTTAAAAACAATTTAGAAAATGGGCAAAGATCTAAATAGGCATTTCACCAAGGAATAAATACAGATGGAAAATAAGCACATAAAGATGTTCATCATCAGTAGTTATTAGAAAAATGGAAATTAAGACTACATGAGATATCACTATATATCAGATTGACTAAAATAAAAGAAAAAAACAGGGACAATACTAAACGTTGGTGAGGGTACAGAGCAAATTAGATCACTTATGCAGTGCTGGCGGGAATGTAAAATGGTATAGCCACTCTGAAAAACAGTCTGTCAGTTTCTCTAAATATCAATCATGAAGTTACCATACAACCCAGGAGTTATCTAGTAACTCGTAGGCATTTATCTAGAAAAATGAAAATTTATGTTTACATAAAATCCCATATATGAATGTTCATTGTAGCTTTATTTTTAAAAATCCCAAAGTGGAATCAGCCCAGATGTCCTTCAATACGTGAATGGTTAAACAAATTGTGGTACATACATATCACAAAATACTATTCAGGAATGAGAAGGAATGAACTATTGACACACAAATCAATGACTCTTTAGGAATTTATGCTGAGCAAAAGAAGCCGATTCCATAAGGTCACATACTATATGATTCCATTTATATATTTTTGAAATGAAAAAAATTTTAGAAATGAAGGGCAGATTAGTGGTTTCCAGGGATTAGGAGCAGTGTAGGAGGTAGGTGAATGTGGTTATAAATGGAGAATCCTTGTGGTATTAGAACTGCTCAGATACACCTACACAGGTGATAAAATGAATATAACATACACACAAGTAAGTACAAGTAAAACTGGGCAAGTATGAATAAGATAGGTACATTGTATCTGTGACTGGGATGTTACACTAGTTTTGCAAAATGTTACCACTGGGCAAAACTGGGCAAAGTGTACAAGGGATCTTTCTGTATTATTTCCTACGACTGCTTGTGAATGTACAATTATCAAAAAAAAAAAAAAAAAAAAAGGATAAGGACTCTTAAAATGTTGCTTCAATACTATTATCGTACAAAAATTTTATAGTAATTCCTTAATAATATCTAAAAGCCTGTAAGGATACAAGTTTGGAAAAATATGGTTTTCAAAGTGTATTTTATATTAAAAAGGTAGTATGACCTCATTTTTAAATCTTAGGCTCAAGGAGCCTAGGAAACACTAGGTGACAACAACCAACAAGAAATATGATTATGTTTTGTCATTTTACATAGTTCTGTGGTAAGGTAAACAGACTCAGGCAAATGCTCAGCTATCAGGAAGCAGACAAAATTAAAGCCTATTTAGAAGATACTAGTTATAAAGGGCACAAGACCAGATTCAGCCCAGGATAGGAAGTCAAGGATATTCTGAAATTGCTCTATCACTTCAAGCCATTTTTAAAAATCAAGCCATGAACCCCATTTGGTATTCAATGTCCTCACCAACTCTCACCTCTTCATCATAACTTCCCCTCTTAAAGGTGTCTGGACCTCTGGACAGACTCACATTAATCTACCCAAACCATGGAGGAAATCACAGCATCTTTAACCTAAGTTAGTGACCAAAGCCACATATATTTTCTGGATGTTTTCTTTCTTTAGAATTCAAGAAAATTTTACATCCTACTTATACCTGATTTTTAAAAAATTATAAATTGTTTTAATTGTCTCCTTAAGAGGACAAAAATTCAAATCTCTCATACCTGAAGTCTGAGTAAATCTGACACTGAAGGAGATATACCATGTTTATCTTTTGGCTTCTCCTTCCTGGGATAAGGGTTGGTGGGTCCACTTGCCCCAGTGTGAGAATTATGGGCAAAAATCATCACTGGGAACTGAGGTGATCAGTTAACAGTATTTACCCGAATGGTTTTGAACCGAACAGGACATGCCTACCAAGTCTATAGTCCTCCCTTATGTAAGGCAACCTCAGGCCTTACCACAGGCCATGTGACTTTGATTGTCCCCAGCTGACTATGTATCAGAGTTTGGTTCCAGAGACAAAGTTGCTACCCATAAACTAGATGCTAGCTTCTCCTGAAGAATTCTGAGTAACAGGAATGCTACTGCTAGAGAGAAACTACCTAAATCATTTAGACTCTGCTTTGGGGGAATCCTGAATGTAAATACACAGAAGAGTGACATAAAAGGTGAGAATTTAGAATGAAGGCAATGCTGTAAAGCAACAGAAACCATGGTGATAAGAGAGGAGGAGGTTAGTAAGAGAGAATCAGTAGTAGAGATGGAAGGGAAGGTCTGGATGTCTGGAAGAGTAGCAAACCCTGAACTTGTTGTATTTTAAGTATTGTTTCACTTCTCCATGAGGTCTGCTGAAAATGTTTTCTGTATTCCCTAAGTGCCTAAACTTTGAGGTATCATTTAAGAGTCAAACTAACCTTAAAGCATTACCCTAAAAATGTTACCAAAAGAACAACCAAAAAGGACAGCTATGGTGACAATCTATAGAATATGATTTTCCATATACTCAGATCCGGACGGGTACAGAACCACACTGGCAAAATGCTTCTAGTCAAGGTCCTGTCTGACTTCTATTCCACTCCTGTGCTTCCTTTCATCCAAGATAAAAATAGGAGAAAATAAGTTTGTCACTGGGGTACTTACCCAATTCTAAAGCTGCTATTAGTGCCAAAGCAACAAGGGCTTCATTCTGCATTATTACATGTTCACTAGTTGCCATGGTAACTAGATGCTTGATGCCACCACTTTGTACAATGGTTTTAATTACATCCTACAATAAATTAATATCACAGAATTATAAACTTTACTTTTAAACATAAAAAAACTGCGTTACCATCAGTCAATTTACTGTTGAGTGGTTTTCTGACAGTGTCCCTATGAATCATTACATTTAACCATAATTTCTTCTTCTTCACAGAAGAGAAGGAAAAAGCTTTTACCTTTAAATAAATTCATCAAAAGATGACAACTTAAATTACCTAAGCAAAAAAGACCACTGCAGTTCATATGAAGGAACAGAGAGTCCCAGAAGCTAACAAAGTCAAAGAAATAAAAGTGCCATTGCCCCAAATGAAGACTTACCACGAGATCAACAAAAGAGAATAAATCTTGGAATAATAATAATGTAAAAAGTTCTTCCTTTCAAATTTTTATTATAACACCAGGTAGTTTTTTCAGATGCATCAGGTGAAGCTTTTTACGTATGTATGTGTGCATGTATGCATGTATGTATGCAGCCTTTTAAAACCTTTGTTGGGTCTAACAAAACTAGATTACATACAAAAGGACTTGAGCAGAACTTAAATCAGAATTCTGTCTCCCTCATTTCTCATGGTGCCTACAGCTCTGTCCTCTCCAGCAGCAGAGGGGCAGTGGGCTCCAGACTCAATAAATCCCACTGACTTTGAGCAAACTACTGACTCTCTCTGCATGTCAGAGACTTCACCTATAACACTGAGACAATGTAAGTGTATATCTCATAGGTTTTTGTTATAATTACAAAGTTATTACATGAAGAGCACACATAAAAGTATACAGCAAAGGCTAGATAGAAAGAAATGGGTACATTTATTTCTAGTACTCATTTTTGTCTTCATCTCACTTAGGGTTTTGTTGGATTAAATATGATTTAGTAGAAAGCCTCAATTATAAAATATTTAAAAAGTAATTGTACTACTTTTCACTATTTTTAGTAATTTGAAGTAAGCACTGAATATTTTAAGCAGCCTGTCCAAGTTAGCTTCAATGGTACAAAACTGTAATTAGAAATATTTTCAAATTAATTTGCTAAAGTATTGGAAAAAGGGTTTATGCTTCTACTTTATGTAAATTTTTAAGAAAACTATTTATAGACAGTATCTTTGCTTTGAGTCCAAACTTGTTTAGTGAGCAAACATTCTAAATCAATAGAGTCTAAGTTCTGAGTTTTTACAGCAGTTGTGTTCTAGCATTCAATGTCTTTTCGCATCAACTTTTTTAGAAAGTGAGAAACTATCTTTTAAAGCCTTTTCTAATGAAAAGAAAGCCTCCCAATATAGTCAGCCCTCCGTTCTGCATCCATGGATTCAACCAACCATGTATTGAAAATATTGGGGGAAAAAATTTTCATAAAGTTTCAAAAAGCAGAACTTGAATTTGCTGTGCGTTGGCAACTATTTAGTAGTTACACTGTATTTCCAACTATCTACTAGCATTTACCTCATATTAGGTATTATAAGTTATTTAGAGATGATTTAAAGTCTAAGGGGGATGTGTGTAGGTTAGATGGAAATACTATGCCATTTTTATATAAGGGACTTGAGCATCCACAGATTATGGTATCTGAGAGGGTGCCCAATCCCCCTCAGATACCAAGGGACGAGGATGACTATATACTGCTTTATACTGGTTACTCAGAGGCAGTTTATTTGAAACTGATACAGAATTCTTAAAATTAGTAAAGAATTTTATAAATATCACAAAGGAGCTTGTTGAGTAAAAAAGATCAAAAGAGATTCACAAGATACATATGCAGTCACCTAGGAAGGTTCCTGGGCTGTCATTTCATCCTCTCTTTTGTGATTCACCCTCAAAAGCCCACTGTAGTAGAAAGAAGGGAAAGGAATGAATGAATGAAGAAAATTTGCACATCAGAAATATCAAAAATCACCACCCCCCACCCTGACCCCTTAAATCAAAGCACAGCTTCTTTTCCATCTCACTTTTCTGGAACGAATATCTGAGTACTGTCCTTTAAAGCGCCTGCCCTCTCTCCTCCTACTTTAATAAATGCTTACTGAGTAGCTACTCTACAGAATCACTTTGCCCGATAGAATGGGGGATAAAAGATAAATGAAGCATTGTACTTGTGTCATATGACAAAAGAGGATTATTACTATTGACAGCTACCCTATATGGAGAAACACCTATACACTGAACAACACTTATACACTGGGTAACTTACAGATAGTAGCTCATTTTTATCCTCACAGAAAATCCCACTAGCTAGATATTATCTCCAGTTTATAGATGAAGAAACAGAAGCTTAGATTAAGTTATGGAATTTGCCCCAAATCAGACAGTGATTAAATGGTAAAAAGCCAAGATTCAATCCAGGCAGTTTGACTACTAGGTCTTGTTTCTAACCATTTGTGGTCTATGGAAAAGCATACACACTGAATTCATCATAATGCCAAGCAGAGGGAGTCATTTAATGTGATCTGAAGGGGCTCTATGAATGTATTTTCAAGTTATATTTTTAACTTCAAGATTAAAAAAAAAAAAGAATATTAGCACCACTCCATAGAGCAAGAAGGTTCATCTGGAGAATTAAAAATAATTTTAACCAATACACTTCTAAAATTAATCCAGAGATTATTTTAACCTCTCTGAAACCATTTCATTTATAATAAGTAAACTGTAGATATAATGAGACGTTTTCTCTGGGTAATCCTTCTAAACCTTAGATATCTCTGGAGAGTCTTTAAGAATTTTGGAAATATTTTATAATGCTTTACAAAGTTTAAAACAATATTTTATTTCGTAATCCTATTTTTCAAGGAGTTTTCTTATGGAAAGCTAAATATAACTAAGGCAAATTATCTATGTTAACAGTCTCACATATTTAGCATTTATGGTCAGTTTGCTCTTAACTGTTGAGATAAATCCAGCTAAAGACTGTTGAAAATTGTATAACAATGTTGTTACAATGGAATGGTTTGAGACAGGCTTGAATTTGAGATAATCGATTTATAAGATTGTAGGCTGGTGTAGCTACTGAATCACCTACCAAAATTTTTCTTTTTTAATATTGTATCATCAAAGTTCTCAGTATAGGTTTAAGTAAATGTTGGATAAATAAGCAAATGACTAAGTATATTTGTTTAAACAAGTTTTTAGCTTGATACTGATGAAGAATGTTTTACTCTTACAGGTTAAAGAAAAGTGCCTACTTTGATAAAAGGGAATTTTTATTTTCCTATTGTAGAGGCAAACTATATTTCTTTCTCTGTTTTTGATATCTGCAGTCAGAAGGTCCAGCTAGTTGGTTAGGAGTCGTAGCCTAGGGCACTCTTTAGAGGGAAGATGTAATTTTACCTATTGGCATAAGCACAAGGATACACCATATATGGCTGAAAGGCCTAAGCCAGCATGAAACCCCATGAATCAGTGCAAACTTTTGGAGGACTGGACTCTAAGGTAGAATTCAGGGTGACTTTAAAAGGAGTAGAATATTCAAAGTACTTTAAAAGGAGTAGAATATTCAAAGTTTAAGAATAACATAAGGACAGAGCTGTGATTCACAACAGTTGGTTAAGCATATACAGGAATGTAACAAATTTGTACCTAGTGTTTAATTATTTTAAAAACTTACTCCAGAGCAGCATTTTCCAAAGTATGTCCAGTGGAATGTTAATAGATGCCTCTTGCAAAAAAGACCCACAGTTAAATAGCTAAAGTTAAGGAAGTTTCTTTAGAGCTTCTACAGAATTCTAAAGGCAAGTAAAGGGAATGCACTATTATCCTAATTACTCTGACCATGAAACCCTTTTTCTTGGAACATTTCTTGGGGTTATTATTCGATAGAACATATTTTGAGAAATGCTGTTCAAACAGAATCATCTATTCCTTTAATGTTTGTTAAATTTAAAAATAATTTAAATTCTAATCCAGAGCTCAAATAACACACCTTGTATTCTAATCATTAACATCTATGAATCAAGGTTCCTATTGCCTCTTAGTAGCAGTATAATCTCAATTGTACGAAACATATATAAAGGAAAAAGTAGCCTATCTGGTACTGAATTGTAAAAAAGTTATGATGTAACTATAAAGTTACAATCCCATATCATTTCAAATTGTTTTTTATTACACACACACACAGACACACACACACACACATCTAGAAAGGTACCATCCCGTATTTCTCATAAGTCTTTTCAAAGAACCTACATGGTGATGGATGCTTAATGGGTATTTTATTTGAAAACTTCTGGGGGGAGGGAGTATGGTATTAGATAAGGGAAAGGGAATCTGTGATAATGAAACCCACAGAAAAGCCTCAAAACCCTCAGATCTCAATATTACAGCATCTGAATAGCTCTGGTTCCAAGATTTGGTTATTTAAGATGATGGAATGTATCTTCCTGTGGACACATTTTTGTGTCCACTAATGGTTTGGTTATACAATTCTGTTAGTTGTTAGTGAACTTAAGGTATATTATGGATTAATCAAGTCTTCGTTGGCCTAACCACCACAAGTAACAGGAATTTATCTGAGAGTTCCAAATTCAGATGCCAAAACATGGCTCTGTTTGTTGCAATCTAGTTAACAGAATTATGGTTTGCCTAAATGAAACCACTGGTAAGAATTCTCCTAGAATGGAGCAAAGAATTAGGTAAAGATTCTGAAAAGGATAGAAGAGTGATTTGGCAGTAAGCAAGTTAGGGAATGTCAGTTCTTCCCATAGTCTCTTATTTTCATGAATGGCATGATTACCCCACCTGGTACTAAGCCCCAAACTTGGAATTCTCTCTAAAACCTCCTTCTCCTTGGACCCCACTTTTGAATTCTGTCAATTCTGCCACTCATATCTTTCTCAAATCCTTCTTTTCCATCCTCACTGCTTCTATTAGGTTGAACCATACGATACTTGTTTTTTTGTGTCAAAATGGTTGAATACCAGCAACTTCAAATTGCTTAACCCAAAACCTTAATTCAGGCCTTTATCATCTCGCACGTATATTTTTGAAAAACTATGTTTTCCTTGCCTTTAGTAAGCCCTAGAGTCGTCTTTCTAATGAAAACCAAATAATGGCACCCTGGTGCTTAAAATCCTTTGGGAGCTTCCTAATTCTCTATAGGATAAATTCATACGCCTTAAGCTGGCACATAATTCATCTTGATCCCCTCTTCTCTTCCTCTCTGGTCACTGTCTTTACACACTCTGCTCCAGCAATACTGCTTTACTTGCAGTTTTCCTCTCGGACTATGTTGCTGTAGATCTCTGTGCTGCTGACACACTGTGGTCTTTGCTTGGAGGCCTTTCTATGCTTTCTCTTCCCACTCTCCTCCTGAGAGATTCCCAGTTAACATCTAAAACATGACCCCTTCTGTGATGCCCAGACAGTTGGTCTCTCTGTCTTCTAAGTTATATCTGAATTGGAGTCTGTGGCTTTAATGCTGTTTTTATATCTGCCCTCCCACTGGACCGTTAATTCTTGAAAGTCATACTGTATTTTATAATATTTACACTGTAAGTACCAAAATGTTGACTGTGAAATGAACAAATGGGCCTGACAGAGCAGTTATGATGAAGAGGTAAAAGGACTACCACAGGAGTTCATTTTGCTATGCTTTCTTGATACTTTCCATCTTGTTAACAATCAGTGAAAATGGATGGGATTTTAGGCTGCTATAGGTGAGACAGGTAGTAGGAAGGTCCAAGTTAACAGCTGCTTTTGCTGCAGGGAAAGATGCCAAGAGGTAGCATCTGATGGGGAGGAACATTCCTGTGGCCAACCAGCTGGAACAGTTACTATGGTGAAGTCAATTCTTTATACGAAGGAGATTTACACAAGTCAAGGAATACCTTTACTTTTAAGCTTTTTCTCTTGCCATCTTCTTTTAATCTGTTTCATATATAAATGAACGGTTTCCTCCGGGACTTACTTTTGATTTACTGTGTCGTATGAGGGCAGAGAGCAGTCTGTTTGACTCCCCCATCACACCAGCGTGATCTTTGGCTTCACACCATTCCACCAAACGCTCCACTAATTTAACATTCTTTCCTAGTTGTTCAGCAGCTTCTGCTATAGGAAAGAAGGCAAACCACAAATGAATGAATCACTGATCGGCAATCAACTGAAGTAACTGGTAAAGATGTAAGAGTGTGAAGGAAAATTACAGGTCTAAAAACAGAACACAACAATTTTATTAAAGCAAGAACTGCAAATATTCCGTATCTGATGGACTACTGAGATTTTCTATTCAGTTGTGGACTTTTATACAAAAACAAAATAAACAACTTTATACTCTTTTGGCTCAGCCTGGCAGTCTGTTAGTGCTTTGGAAAACAGTACCGAAGAATTTTGAGCAGTACTCTAAGGAATCAGTATAGAGAAGGTTTAGAATTTAGAAATAAGCAAATAAATGTAACTCATCCCAAGGATTGGTTTTCATTATTGTTTCTGTAAACAGAAAAATGATCTCCCTGTTTGCAAAACAAATTTAAAAAAATTTTGACTGTCACTGTATTGAAACTTGATAATTTTACAAGGTAAGAAAGGGTACAGAAAATGCCAAAACATAAAAACCCCTCAAGAACCACTAATAAATCAACCTAAAATCAGATTATATGTACTAATAAAGAGAAATGCAATATAATTTCCATTGAAAGTCAATTATAACAAGCATGGAAATTAATGAATGGGGGTTCCAAAACCAATCTCTTTTTGCCTTTTATTTGCTACTTATCTTTATGATTACATAATTCTGAAAGCTAAAAACAGGTCCTTTTTCCACTAGAGGCACATTAAGACTATTATACCAAAAATGCACCTTGAGAAAGCATTTCTCTTACCTTGTGCATCTATTAACATTCTTAATGTTCCCAGGAGTTTGAACTGAACTGGGGGCATTTCAGATTTAAGAAATTTCAAAACTGCCTCTGTGACGCCAGCTGATAACATCTTTGCTTTATTTATAACTAGAGAGAGAGAAAAAAAAAACACTGATTAAAGTGATAGCATTTTTGATGATAATCATTCAATTCAATATACATTTTTTGAGTGTCTTATTATCTTAAGGCCCCATGTTACATTTGTCTACTTAAAAACAACATTGTTACTCTTCTGTTAATTTCAAGAATGGGACTGGGAATGGGAGGGCTAGGGGATAAGTATCCTATTTGTCTACAGGAGCACAACACACAAAATCACACTTACTTGCTTTTAAAATCTAATCATAAACTAATAATTTGTAAAGGAAATCTGACAATGTTGCCTTCTTATTTATGAAAAGCACAATTCCTCAACTTTAATAAATGTTTCTTTTTACCTCTGTCCTGGACCCAACTGTTAATATATACATTATAGACATTAATAAACAATATTAATCTGCTACGTGGGCCAAATTGATTTCATATAGATTACATTTTCATATAGTTATACTGTTTTACCTAACCAGAAATTTACCTTTAGAAAGTAGAATAAAAGGATAGTTTCAACTATATCCTGTATTAGTTCCCGTGATAATGTGATTTCAAAAGCCTTGTAATCCAAAAAGACACATTAAGTTTATTTAAAAAAATTGTACGTCTGCTCGTAGGGAAAAAGAATTCTTAAAAGTCATTCTTTAAGGGAGTCTGTTAATTGATACCATTATCTTACCTCAGCTGAAGATGCTTAAAAAATCTTAACTATACAATATGATGAAAATCTAGGAGTTCACAAAAAGTAATAGAATATTTGAATAATCTGAAAAAGGAAGATTATGCTTGTATAGTCTCAGAAAACTTCTTTAACATATGATCTCCATTTATTAGTAAGAAAAATGTAAGCAATCTGAAGACTATTTTTCTTTTCTTGGTCAGGGCAGGTCCACAAATCACATAAATATCTTCCCCAAACGACAGATCTTTATCTCTTACACAGTTGGCTCCCATTCTTTTTTTTTTAATTAATTTTTATTGGAGTATAGTTGATTTAAAATGTTGTGTTAGTTTCTGCTTACAGAAAAGTGAATCAGTTGTACATATACATATATCTACTCTCTTTTAGATTCTTTTCCCATATAGGTCAGTACAGAATATTGAGTAGAGTTCCCTGTGCTGTACAGTAGGCACTATTGCTTTCTGAGCTATTGACCTTGGCTTTGATGTTGTTTCAGAGCAGTTTCTATGACTGAAACCACGAATTTCATTTAAATAATAGATAAAAATATTGGACTGCACTGAGAACGAGATAAAAGCATTTGAGCTAATAAAGAGGCTACTGATACAACTGTCTCAAAGCACCCCATCTCATAGATGACTTTTAGAATAAATCTCATTGGCTCCCATTCTTAAGTCTTACCTGGAATGGCTAGGTTTCTGAGGGCACTTAGTGCCGCGTGCTGCACAGTTACGTTTCCATCTTCTACATGTCTGTCCAGTAAATCCATAAGTTTTTCTACAATTCCATTGTCTACCATATGGATACAATTTCCATCTAAATAACAACAAAAAACATTTTTCCCTCTTTACAAATATCTATAAATATTTTGTAAAACTGATGCCTGCCCATTATCTACATTAGGGAAAATGGAGCTATAGGAAAATAAAATGAATTCCATCTTCTTCTTACAACAGATTTACAGATTTTTTTGTTTACTGACTGAGAAGTCCGATTATAAGATTCTTAAAATAGATAAAAATTTTAAAACTGGCCAAAATTTAAAAAACTGGCCAAAAAAGTCTCTAGCTGAGTTCCTGATAATATATCAGAAGATGAGTAAGTAGAAACCACATGCTTAAAATGTCCTCCAATAGTTTCCATTTATAGTGAAGTATGCCAGCGTTCTGCGAACGTTACAGTGACAGTACTCTACATTTTGTCATCATGGCTGATATTTAAATTATTTTTTAAAGACAGAATTTCTGAAACATTTATAAAGCAGAGAGAATATTATAATGAACTACTATTTACCCCCCACTTAGCTTCAATAATTATCAATATTTTGCCAGTCTTAATTTCATCATTAAGGAGTTAATGATGGTCCCCAAAAGGAAGGAAGGAAAAATGGAATAAGTCATCTATTATAACATGCTATAACAAGAGTTAATACTCAAATAAAATCAAATTAAAAACAAAAATAACTTGTATTTCCTAGACACAGTATAAGTTTCTAGAGGGAATAGCAGAAGTGTCAGACTTCAGAAATATACATGGAGGTCTGGTGCCTCTGAAATTTTATTTAAGTAAATATTCTATCTTAAACCAGAGGATTACCCATGCTTAGATTTTATAGGCGTAACACTATAAATGAGGCACAATAATGAATACTCAGATTATTAAATCCAAAATAAAATCACCAGGCAAAAAAGTATATCCTCCCAGATCAGATGTTTATTAGAATGGGACTCAAGTTTATTCATCTCTGAAGTACACAGTACTCAAAAGAAAGACTTCATAATCACTGTTCATGACCTTTAAACTATTAGAACTTAGTTGAATTGCATAAAATATGTAATTTGCTGGGAAAGTCAATATTAGTATTTCAGATTTCTGAAAAATTAAGGTAGTATTACACACAGATACTGCACACGCTTCTGAACTGTTTTCGGTTTAGTATACGTTATGGCAAAGCAAAATTTAAAAATACAGAAGGTCTGATTTAATAAGGATGAACTCATATGCTTACCATTTCTGGCAAAATTTGCAATTGCCAACGCTCCAGCAAGCTGTAGCTGGTGGTTATTTGATGGAATCCAAGACAGTACCCTTTGAAACACATTACCTTTTCCTCCTTCAAATAATTTCTGCATGGATTCATCTAGAGGTAAATGCAACAGGTAAGAGGAAAATACTTAGAAGTAACATATCCCTATTCTTAACTGAATACCCAATTGGGAAATCACATATTGATACTTCATAATCTATAATTCACAAAAAAAAAAGTAATGACTCTATTTCTGAAATAAATTTATAAATTTATTTATTTTTGGCTGCGTTGGGTCTTCGTTGCTGCGCGCAGGCTTTCTCTAGTTGTGGTGAGTGGGGACTACTCTTCGTTGCGGTGCACGGGCTTCTCATTGCGGTGCCTTCTTGTTGCAGAGCATGGGCTCTAGGCGCACGGGCTTCAGTAGTTGTGGCACGTGGGCTCAGTAGTTGTGGCTCACAGGCTGCAAAGCGCAGGATCAGTAGTTGTGGCTCATGGGCTTAGTTGCTCCGCGGCAACTAAGATGTGGGTTCTTCCTGGACCAGGGCTCGAACCCGTGTCCCCTGCATTGGCAGGTGGATTCTTAACCAGTGCACCACCAGGGAAGTCCCAGTAATGACTCTTTTTCTAATAAACTTTTAGCAGAGACTGGACAAAAGGGCTTAGAATTTTTCTAGTCTAAGTCCCAAGTAGCCACCTCGCTTTTAGTCCTTTGGTGCCACAGCTGTCTCTTCTATATGACAGCTCTTTAAATACTGGAAGATGTATTTAAGGTTTCAAAATCATCACATCAACAGGATTAAATGTGACAGGAAAATGAGAAAATGCCTAATATAGTATTTATAAAAGAGACGATAAATTTTTAAATATCTGACAGTCATGTTCTTTCGTTGGCATAAATTACAACTCACCTCCAAGAAGTAATAAAACCATTAGATCTGAAGCGGTTTTGAGCTCAGCAATATCCTCCTCTTTGTCACTATCCACTTTCTGCTGAACAATCTCTAGTAGACATTCCACCAGGCCTGCTTCAACCAGCTGTAGCTTAATAGCATCTAAAGAATAATGTGAACAAAATAACCAAAATTTGAGATGAAATAGGAATTCTGGTATAAGGAATTTAATGTAAAGAATTATAAAAAAACCAAAAAAGTGCATGATTTAGATAACACACCTCTGAAGATTTGAGTTTCTAAAGGGCGTATCTGACAGTGCAGCTTAAATACACAGAAGCTTTATTTCATTTCTATTTGATATGATGTCACTTTTCACAATGTCTGGCAGCAACTAAACAAACTGATTCTCAGCACTGAAGGTAAGTAATGTCATTCTACTGTTATTCTAGATATTATGCTCACATTTAAAAGGCAATACTATAAAATACTGCACACTGTTTAAAATAAAACACACATAACTGTTAAAGTTAAAACACATTCACTAATGGAGTTTGAATACAAAGATACTAAAAAGAGGTACTAGTAAATTTCAAAGTATATCACAGGTATGTACATTTGGATTCATATTTGTACAGATGTTATTTTTCTAGGACAGTTAATTAATTTGTAACTTTCTGAACTTGAAACTCATGTTTTTAAAAAGCTTTTCAGGTTTTCATTAATTTGAAGCTTTCTTGGGTGATGGGGACATGGTGGTTCATTATACTATAATCTCTCTACATCTGAATAGGTTGTTTTTTTTTTAAATAAATTTATTTATTTATTTATTTTTGGCTGCGTTGGGTCTTCCTTGCTGTGTGCAGGCTTTCTCTAGTTGTGGTGAGCGGGAGCCACTCTTCGTTGTGGTGCACGGGCTTCTCATTGCGGTAGCTTCTCTTGTTGCGGAGCACGGGTTCTAGGCACATGGGCTTCAGTAGTTGTGGCACGTGGGCTCAGTAGTTGTGGGTCGTGGGCTCTAGAGCGCAGGCTCAGTAGTTGTGGCGCACAGGCTTAGTTGCTCCACAGCATGTGGGATCTTCCCGGACCAGGGCTCGAACCCGTGTCCCCTGCATTGGCAGA